ATACCGGATCTTATGAATTATAAAATAGACTTCCTAAGAATTGTCTGTAGTCATGAGCATTTTGTAGCTCTGAATTTACCTTTTGGAACATCATATACGATGGTATCGGCGCCATGCAGTCCCACTCCAAGCACGACATCGAGCAACAGTCAAACATCATGCGTAAGTTTTAAAAAACTTTCAAAAGAATTTCATATTGTTTTTATTTATTTATTATTTTTTTTCAGGGATCTCTCGAGCGATCTCTTCATGCCGATCTTAGTCAGGAGTTCCTCCAGCAACATTTTCTGGTTGGTCTTGTTCTCAGCGATTTGGCTGCAGTAATGGAGGTGCCTAATCCCCAGTTACATGGAAAGGCAATACGCTGCATTCGCAACTTAATGATGTCTCACGACTTGGATAACCGGTACAGCGATATGGAAGCTCGTGCAAGGGTAGCTGCATTATACATACCATTGCTGTCTATAGTAATGGACAGCATTTCTCAGCTGCATCAGCATGTCCTTGATCATGACCGTTTGCAGCAGATCGGTCAACTTGAAGATTATCAAGGCCCGCATCAATCCATTACAGCTTCAACCATTAATCCGGAAGTAGCATTCGCAATATCAGGAAGTCGTCCATACTCCTACTTGAATGAGCAAGTTAAAAACAAATCGCCGCTTAGCTCGGAAAACACGCGCCATTTATTAGTGTGCTTTCTTTGGGTGCTAAAGAATTTGGAACGCAATGTCTTATACCGCTGGCTTTTAGATCAAAGTCCCCACAGAGTGCACCAAATGCTTCAAGTTGTTAATGTTTGCCTGAAAACTTTTGAGTATAAAGGACAAAAACAGGTTCCCACTCTTAAACGAACCAATACACAAAGTTTTAGAAAAACTGGCTCTACCGATGTAAAGGAAAAGTTGGAAGAATGTATTCGAGGGACCAATTCTGCACGATACGATCTCATAAATCGCCGAAAAGACCGCAATTCCACAGAGAAATTCCGCTGGCGAAAGGATCAGATGCCCTACCGTTCACAATATGTAGACGGTGCTGGCAAAAGTGAGCATGAAGTTGAGTTAAGTCATTTCATCGAAGGCTCTTTAGCGACTGAAGTTGCTCTTGTGCTCCTTGACACCCTGGAAATTATTGTACACGTTGCTGCCAATCTTTATCATAATCTTCTTGGAACTGTGCTTAAGGTTCTCCTCCATGCACTATCCCGCAATCAGTCTACTCTTGCGCTGCAGAACTTGTTTGCCTCCCAGCGCGCTCTGATTTTCAAATTTCCAAACTTATTATTCGACGACGAGACGGACATATGCGCAGATTTGTGTTTAATTTTACTAAAGCATTGTGGATCTCTTTTGCCAGGTATACGGTCACAGGCAGCTGCATCATTATATTTACTAATGAGACAAAATTTTGAAATCGGAAATGTAAGTTTTGTTTTGTAAAGTAATTTATTATAACTAATTGAGAATACCTAATTTCAGAACTTTGCTCGAGTTAAGATGCAAGTGACGATGTCTCTAAGCTCTTTAGTTGGCACAAGCTCGGTTTTTAGTGAACAATCTCTACGCCGTGCGCTTAAAACAGTGCTAGTTTATGCTGAATCCGACTCCGACCTACAGGATACATCTTTTCCTGAGCAAGTGCAAGATTTGCTTTTTAATCTGCATATGATATTGTCAGATACTGTAAAGATGAAGGAGTATCAAGAGGACCCAGAAATGCTGCTTGATCTCATGAATCGTATTGCCAAGGGATACCAAAATAACCCTGATTTACGGCTAACTTGGTTGGAAAACATGGCTAAGAAACACCGCGAACGCGCTAATCACACGGAAGCAGCCATGTGCTACGTACACGCCGCTTCTTTGGTCTCTGAATATCTAAGCATGTTGGAGTCTCAAACACATTTACCTGTTGGAGCTGTCAGTTTTCAACGCATTTCTCCCAACACACTAATGGAGTCAGCCGTGTCAGATGACGTGCTCAGTCCCGGCGAGGATGGCATCTGCTTGGGAAATCATTTTACTGAAACTGGATTAAAGGCTTTGCTCGAAGAAGCTTCAAATTCATTTCAAGTAGCTGGCATGTATGAAGCAATGAACGATGTGTATAAGATTTTGATTCCCATCTGCGAAGCCAATAGAGACTTTCAAAAGCTTAGCAAAGTGCATGGCAAGTTGCAGGAAGCATTTAATCGAATATCCCAACTACAGGTAAAAAACAAAATGTCAATTTCCCAACGGAAACTATATTTTTTTTATAAACAGGGCAAAAGAGTTTTTGGTACATACTTTCGGGTTGGTTTTTATGGCGGGAAATTCGGTGACTTGGACCAACAGGAATTTATTTACAAAGAGCCGACTCTGACCAAATTGCCTGAAATATTCAGTCGGCTTCAGGTATAAAATATAACTTTGTAATTTTAGTTAACAAATATTCAACATTTTTGCATTCATTTCTTATATGCCCCGCAGAACTTTTATACTGAACGATTTGGTCCGGATTCTGTCCATATCATCAAAGACTCCAATACCGTCGATGTAAACAGCTTAGACCCTGATAAGGCTTACATTCAAATTACTTATGTGGAGCCTTACTTTGAAACGTATGAAATGCGGCATCGTGAAACATACTTTGAGCGGAATTTTAATATTAGTATGAACTAAATTGATAGTTATTTGATGTGAATTCTGATGTTATTTTTTATAATTTAGAACGATTTATATATGCAACGCCTTTCACGAAAAGTGGTAGGGCACATGGCGAGCTACATGAGCAATGTAAGAGGAAAACGATTTTGACCACGGCGAACCACTTTCCCTATGTAAAAACACGAATTATGGTAATAAGCCGACAGCAAATAGTATTGGAGCCCATTGAGGTGGCAATCGAAGTAAGACAAATTTGTAAAGTCTTAATGGTAAATAACATACATTTTTTTTGTTGTATAGGACATTCAAAAGAAAACATTGGAGTTGGCGGCTGCCACAAATCAGGAGCCCGCTGACCCCAAAATATTGCAAATGGTGCTGCAGGGATGTATTGGAACCACTGTCAACCAAGGCCCTATGGAAATGGCTAGTGTGTTCCTTTCCAATTTATCCGACGGAACAACCGTACCGTCAAAATACCAAAACAAACTTCGACTTTGTTTTCGCGAGTTTTCAAAACGTTGTGCTGATGCTTTGAAAAAGAATCGAAATCTAATACTTTCAGATCAAAAAGATTACCAACGAGAACTAGAGCGTAACAACGATCGATTCATAGAGCGACTGACTCCTTTTATTACTCTTACAAAAGTTCAGAATCATGGCGTTGTTAAGTAAGTCTTTATTTGAATTCCTTCTTAATGCTACAGAAAAGCACAAGCAGAAATATTTTTCCTTATACGTATTTTGAAGTCAATTTGTTACACTATTTATACCCGTTACTCGTAGAGTAAAAGGGTATATTGTATTCGTGCAAAAGTATGTAACAGCTAGAAGGAAGCGTTTCCGACCCTATAAAGTATATATATTCTTGATCAGGGTCACTAGCCGAGTCGATATAGCCATGTCCGCCTGTCCGTCTGTCTGTCCGTATGAACGCTGAGATCTCGGAAACTATAAAAGCTAGAAGATTGGCATTTTGCATGTAGATTTTAGGAGTTCCTACGGAGCGCAAGTTTGTTTCAAAATGGTGCCACGCCCCCTCTGACGCCCACAATCGCTTATATACGATTTTAAAATTTTAAATATTTCGGAAAAGTAAAAATGCAGTTTTATTGTGTTTATCAATACCTATCGAAATGTAGAAGAAATTTTTCAAATCGGACCATTCGTTAAAAAGTTATGCATGATCAAAGTTTCTATCTCCATCTCCCTCGCACTCCCTTTACCTGAGTAACGGGTATCTGATAGTCGGGGCACCCGACTATAGCGTTCTCTCTTGTTTATAACTCCAATATATTAGTAATGCTGGTCGTCCGGTCACAGCTTTCGCTGGCCAAATACACATTTCGGCATGCCGAAGTCACCCTTTTTCTCAATTATATTTATTTGATATATTTTTTTTAAACTAATTTTAGGGCCAATGCATACAACAACAAAATTACTCCACTGAAATGGTAAATCCTTACATGACGTTGCCAGCAGCTAATTATTAAAAAAAAAACTTTTGATATTTCATGTCTAGCGTATCGGATTATTTTATGTAAGTAACATTCAGAGTTTGACTGATCGATCTCTATATTTGCTAAATTATATTAGCTATTAAATAAACCATTTTACAAAATTCGTATAGATCAACACCAAATATTATTAACCAATATGAATAAAAAACATATTTTTCAGTTTTATAATATTTTATAGAAAATAAAAAACATCATGTTTACTAACTTCTTAACATACATAAAAATGGCTTTGTTTTATTGACGTTTTTAGGTTAACATGTTCCGTTGATTAAAATAAACGACTCTACCGTTTGATGCAATTAATCATCTCATTTCTAAAATTAAAAAATGTTATTTAAAAAAAAGTGTCTTATTTTGTTGTTTTTCAAAATATAAGAATATAAGATATATAATATAATAAGATATTAAATTTCAATCTTACAAAAATTAAACGACTATATAAGAACAATGGGAAACTTTGAATAAAAAAAAAATTAAAAGTACAAAACAGGGCGATAGCTCCATAACTAATAAAAATAATGGAAAACAATTTATACCGTGGATTGTCAACTCTGCTTGAACTGCCAACTTGGCTTGGATTGGCAACTCGGCCCAATTACTTGAGCGCTTACTAGAAAATGACTGTTAGAAAAGCAAAAGTCTTCGGACTTTTTTCTCGCAAAATATAAACTCTATGCAAAAAAGTCACAAAACATATAATGTGTATAGCAAATAAATAGGTTTAAAAACTGTCTTGTGCAGAGTTTTCCATCGACGGGCCAACCAGAGTTGGAAAACGTTCTTAAGTAAAATATCGATAGTGGTATTATCACGCCTTCGCCACGGCCACACTTAGCGATCTCCCACTTTGTTTGTGTTGAAAATGACGCCGCGCGTCATATTTTCTGCTGAAGAAATTGTTCCTATCGTGCAAAACAAGTGCACAGTACAACGCATCGCATGCTCGGTATAAATTGGTGTTCTTTCGTCATCAGTGTTTGTCATTCTTGTTAAAACTTTCAAGGAAAGGCAAATGTGATAAGTCGGGCGTCCCTCAACACACATTCATACATGTGTAGGTGTGTCAAAAAAGAGAATCAAGCATTTACTTGAAAGCCACCGCCTTAACTGCGCAAAGAGGCAAATAAATAAGTGTAAGTGGCTAAAATTATTCAAAGTTGAATACTCTACATCTACTGTGGATCCAAATAATGTAAAACAAAAAAATATTAGTATATATTTAATTAGAATGTACATATGTGGGCATCTTTGTGTGCATGCGTATTCGGGTGAGTCAGCCACGCAAACAGTCCGCAGTCGTCATTTTGCTGTTGTAGGTGTCTCTTGTAATACCCAGGGTAATCTCAGGGTAAAATGTATATTGAGTTGGGGCAATAATGGGAGACGGAATAAAAAAAAAACCTTATTATCTGGCATTTACATCCATGTTCGTGTAAATATATGGATATATACCCGAAACTAAAAAAGATAGATAAATGGAGTTCATTAAAAACTCATTTTCAAACTGAGTGCGGGGTATTGTATAGTCGGCGCCCGTCTGCGGCGTTACTTGATTCCTATGTTAATCCCATTCATCTAAACAAGTACATATTTTTAGGGCATGTATGTTTAATACCGGCATAATATTGATCAACCATTGCGATCGGGAACGTATATGTATATTCGAAATTAGGTCACCACTTTGCTCACACCCACGTACAAGTTTTTTATTCCAGCTCATAAAATTGTTTTATTGTTTATCAATCAAAACTATCTCAGACACTAACAAAAGCTAATATGCTGTTTATTATTCAGTTACTCAAAAATGCAGACAAATATTCTAATGCGATTTTGACTTCATATGCATCGTTGCATAGCGAGTTTCTTAACATAAAATACATACCTACTCTTTATCAAGAGCTCAGATCGGGCCTACTTATTTCATCTCCCTTTTTTGAATAATCATATAAAGGGCACTACTGGACGTTTTAATGAAGTTTAAGTAATAGTTTTCTAAATTTTTTGTGTATCTACATATATTTGTAAATATATACCGTTACCTGCAAATTTGCATACGTATATGTACATAGGTACATACATACAATAGCGGGGCAACGTTTCAGCCGCCTACATACAAATATCCCCCGACGGTTGTTGAAAATCTTGACACAACTTGTTTGGTAAGTCGTGCAGACCGTGTTCTTGCAGACTTTTCAATGGTTTTTTCTTAAAAGCCAATTCAATACTTTCACTACAACTCTGACTAATTAAGTTTTAAATCCATACAAGAAAATCTGAATTATTTGAAGATTAAACTCGTTCTGTGGCTGATAATAATTTTATTTTTAAGGCTTATTTTATCGTCTTAATGGTAAGCTAAAATTAGGGTTTAAACGCGAGATTTCATACGTTCCTCATCTTAAACCCTACTTCTAACTCATCATGAAAAAGAAAAAAACGGGTATTCATATTTTAATTTATTTATAAAAATTAATAATCGGTTATTTTTTTAATTTTTATTTAAAAAAACAGTCAATTATTAATATATCCATTCGACGGACCAAGCCAACATAAAAGATTATAAATTATGTTGAAGTTTATCCGAGGAAAGGGTCAGCAGCCCAGCGTGGAAAGACAACGCCTACAAAAGGACCTTTTTGCTTATCGTAAGGTATGTATAACCTATGACCTGATTAAAGCTGTTATCAGCCCACAAAGTTTTTAAAGATAATTTGAATAGTAATGAATGTCATTCCCTATCGTATTATGAAAAAGGTATATTCAGTTTCTGACGCATTGGTTATAAAGGCATTATATGGTATTTTTCGTCGCATCTTTTACGTACCGTAGAATAATATCGTCTAACAAAAGAGTTGTCAGATGAACATGTATACAAAAAGACATGTATAAATAAATTAAACAAAACATATAAATATAAATAAATGAAAAATATTTCATAGTTTTCTAATGAAGCCTTAAAATTTTTAATTTCAACCTTGCAAGCATTTCGTTCTTATTAATATAGTTAAAATCGTCATGCAAGGCAGGCCACTGCCGATGTCATCAGATTATGTCGAAAAAGTTTCAATGACATCATACAGTTTCTATACCCTTGAAAAGTAGTTACATAATTGTGATTACGAGTTATTAACATCAAGTGGCTAGTTAATATAGTGCACCAGTCTGTCAGCGTTTGCAAATCAAAATCTAGTTACTCGAAACATTCGCCTTCTATTTTTTTATTGCATTTTTATATGTGTACCCAGTCATATTTATAAACGCCGCTGGTCGATTGTATTTGTTTTTCTGCCATAACGCCAGCACATTTTTATGCAGTTTGCAAGTCGTTTTAATGAATGCCCCTGACCGAATGTCTATATCAAGTCTATATGCAGCTTCAAGAGGAACGATCAGCTAAAATTAGTTTTCGAAAAATTGTGCGTATTACTGTTTTTTTTATTGGTCAGATTTGAAGGCTTTATATTATTTCTGATCCATTCTTTGGGCTACCAAGAGAAAAAATTTAATCTATAGAAAATTTTCTACGTTTTAAAATTAGTCATCAATATTATTTTGCTTCGCATTTATGTATCACTAAGCTCAAACACACAATGCAATCAGGCCAAAGATAGTCGCCACACAGTATGATATAGGGACTGTAGTTGATAAGATTAACAATATTTGTTGAATGGGCTGGGTAAATGGGTTGGCTTCAGAAAAAACTCCATATCATACGGTATAAAATATGTTGACTGTTTTAGTGGATAGGAAAAGTAAATACTGATTAGATTTCAAAGCATCTACAAAGTACATAAAAAATAATTTATGTACGTGTTTTTCGGCTTAAAGTTTACATCAAGCTAAAATGATTATTTAAATAATCTAGCTTAATTTGCCCAAAATTTTAAAATGAAAAAAAATATATATAAAAATATTTTTTGAAAACATAACAACCCTTATCCGCCATTATTTCCACAATTTTTTTTATTTTATGTACCGGTCAAAAAAAATTCAAACTTTGTGATCGTTTGCTAAAATTTGTTAAATTTTGTACAACAAAAACATTATTATTTTTAATTTAAAAACAAGAAGAAGCTCAATGGTCAAGACCATTGACTATACTTGTTACTCAGCTACCAATTAAAAAAAAAATATATGCCCCCAGCTGATAGCGCATTTCGAAAGTTTTAGGTGGACCGTCGGCCGAACTGCATTGCCAAGAGAGGCTAATAGTTTTCTCGCTCTCTCAAATATATAAATTCCAATTTTCCAAATGCAAATGACAATCAACGCAACAAAATATTTGTGTATTAGTATTTTCCAAAACAATACCCGGCAATTTAAAAAAATAAAAAAATTCTAAATAACTCCATTTGATTGATAATATAAATGACACTGACTGTAGTTTTTCTTTCTACTTAGACCACACAGCATGGCTTTCCTCATAAGCCTTCTGCCCTTGCATATGATCCTGTCTCAAAACTCATGGCGATTGGGACGCAAACAGGTGCCATAAAGATTTTCGGCCAGCCCGGAGTTGAATTGTATGGACAGCATACGTTAGTGAACAATTCCGCAGCGGAGCTCAATGTTCAATTACTTGAATGGGTTTATGGAACTGGTCGCATACTTTCGTTGACGGCTGCCAATCAATTAATACTGTGGGAGCCTGTTGGAACGTCATTGCTTCCGATCAAAACATATCATTTTGACGGAAAACTGAAGAAAGTGTCATCGCTGTGCTGTTCTTTGAATAAAGATCTCCTGTGGATTGGAACTGAAGGTGGAAACATCTATCAACTTGATTTACACACATTTACAATAAAAGAACCAGTGATTTACCATGACGTGGTTTTAGAGCAGGTGCCACCAGCTTACAAGCTAAATCCTGGTGCGATTGAGTCCATTCGCCAGCTTCCGAACGCCCTTAACAAGCTTCTCATTGCGTACAATCGTGGCCTGTGTGTCTTATGGGATTTTGAATCGTCATCCGTGGAACGGGCATATGTAGCCCCTGGTCATGGTCAAAGCGTTGGTCTTTCAGTGAATTTCGGAGGATCTGAATTTAGCTGGTATCACGCTGATGGTTCGTACGCTACTTGGAAAATAGATAACGCAGAACCGCCAAACAATGTTAACTACGTTCCTTATGGCCCTGATCCTTGCAAGAGCATAAATCGTCTGTACAAAGGCAAACGAGGGTAAACTTAAATAACAATTGAAAGTGGTAATATGTTTGTTAATTCAATTTTCTTTTAGATCCAACGACGTGATTGTTTTCTCCGGCGGCATGCCACGTTCAGCTTACGGTGATCACAATTGCGTTTCTGTACACACCAGCGATGGACACAAAGTTTGTCTAGACTTTACATCAAAAGTCATTGACTTATTCGTGACTTACAAAAATAATAGTGATGTTTCTGAAGTGCTAATTGTTCTACTGGAAGAGGAACTCTGCGCATACGATCTTACGGACTCCAATATTTCTGCAATCAAAGCTCCCTATCTGCACTCGGTGCATGCATCAGCTGTTACCTGCAATTACCTTGCTTCTCAAGTCATACAGTCCGTCTATGACAGTATTTTACGAGCGGGAGATGAGCAAGACTTGGATTACAGCAATATTGACTGGCCTATTACTGGCGGTGTACTTCCAGATGACTTAGGAGAATCTGATGAGGAGGACACGGCTAAATTTTATGAAATTCTGTTAACGGGGCACGAAGATGGTTCAGTTAAGTTTTGGGATTGTACTGGAGTGTTGCTTAAGCCAATTTATAGCTTTAAAACGGGCCACATTTTTGGAAGTGAGCATGAATTCCGGGATGACGCAGCCGCAGATATCAGTGCAGAACAACTCGACGAAGGAGAACCTCCATTTCGAAAGGCTGGTCTTTTTGATCCTTACTCCGATGATCCTCGTTTAGCAGTGAAGAAAATAGCACTCTGCCCAAAGAACGGGCAGCTCATTGTTGGTGGCACAGCGGGCCAAATTGTTATAGCCGATTTTGATGACGCCTCGGAAAAGGTTTCATTAAAATACTGCTCTATGAATCTGGTCAGCGATCGCGATGGGTTTGTGTGGAAGGGTCACGATCAGTTAAACGTGCGGGCCAAGTTATTGGCAAGTGAAGCCAAACCTATAGATGAAAATGGTGTAAATATAACAGGAGTGCTGCAGGTTTTGCCTCCAGCCAGCATTACCTGCATGGCACTTGAAGCAAATTGGGGTCTTGTATCTGGTGGAACTGCACACGGACTAGTGCTGTTTGACTTTAAGAACTTTGTTCCAGTTTTTCATCGCTGCACACTAAATCCGAACGACCTCACTGGAGCTGGTGAGCAGCTGTCTCGACGTAAATCTTTTAAAAAATCATTACGAGAGTCATTTAGAAAGCTTCGCAAGGGTCGATCGACACGGAACAACCCCAGCAATCAGGTGCCAACTACGGTAAATAGAGTAGCATTCTAAATAGTCACTTATTGGCTAGATAAAACTTTATTAATGTAAATATTAATTATTGTAGTTGGAAGCACGGCCAGTTGAAAGACAAATAGAGGCACGTTGTCCTGACGACGGACTGGGATCGATGGTGCGGTGCTTACTATTTGCCAAGACTTATGTTACTAACGGTGAGTTTTTTTTTATATATGGTTATTTGTATCAACTCTTAGTCGATTTTGATTTTGAAAAAAGTCAACATTTCATTTTTATTCCCTGTTGCCAAATTCATACCAAAAAGTTCTATAGTTACGCAAAAAAAGGAGCCCAGTCACTAAGGCCCTTATTTGAAGCCCTTACAATTTTGTTTTAATATTTCACCACAAAAAAAGCGAAACAGATTTTTACATAAAAATGGTTGCAAAGAATTAAAAAATAATTTACTAATTTATAAATTTAATAACTTTTATTCATCCGAAATTAAGTTCTTACAATTTAAAAGATTAATACATTTATTATTAACGTTTGTATTATGAAGGCAAGTCAACTTCGAAATAATTTAAAAATAAGAAAGCAAACTTCGGCAAGCCAAAGTTTATATACCCCTGCAGTTATTACAAATCGACTACATTTCGATTTCAATATTACTAAAAACAATGAAGCTATATCGATTTTGCGCTGCATTTTGCCATCGTTTCTTGGCAGCTATGTTATTGTTGTTCGATTTTAATATAATTAAAACCGTAAATCCATAATATTTAAAAATTACACAATCCCAAAGATCAAAGAAGAATTAAATACAACAAAAAAAAACATTTTTTGCATTTTTTTCCTGATTGTTCCTATGGGAGCTATATGATATACCTACTACCTGCAATAAAAAGACAACTTTTGGGAAAGTTTTAAGCAGATAGCTTTACAACTAAGAGACTAGTTTGCGTAGAAACGGACAGACGGACGGATTGATTGGCCAAAAATAAAACCCATAGAAAATCCCAACTTCCTAACTTTACAAACACCAAAGTTATGGCATTTCCGATCAATCAGTTATATGGCAGCTATAGGATATAGTCGGCCGTTCCCGGCCGTTCCGACTAATATACTGCGTGCAAAGGAACGAAGGGTGTGTGCAAAGTTTTAATTCAATATCTTTAAAACTGAGAGACTAGTTCGCATAGAAACAGACAGACGGACATGCTTATATCAACTCAGGACGCGATCCTAATTAAGAATATATAAACTTTATAGGGTCGGAGATGTCTCCTTCACTGTGTTGCACACTTTTGACTAAAATTATAATACCCTCTGCAAGGGTATAAATATGAATAAAGATCTTAGTGTTCTTTTTCTGTATATGAAACGTTTCCGAAAATTTATTAATAAGCATTATCATTAGCATTGATGCAACCGCCTGTGTCTGTCCATTTCTATGCAAAGTAGCCCTTTAGTTTTAATACGTTTCTTATCCAAATTATGAAAAATATTCACACAGCAAATAAGAAAACTAAAATAAGAAATTATTAATCTATTATTACTAAAGTCAGGGTCGAGACTAAAAGGTATAGCGATCGGAAATGCCATAACTTTGGTGTTTGTAATGTTAGGAAGTTGGGATTTTTAATTGGTTTTATTTTTGACCAACCAATATAATTTACAGAATATTCTGCAAGGGTATATAAACATCGGCTTGCGAAGTTTGCTTCTTTCTTGTTTTAAATAAAAATAGGACAAAATGTGCTAATTCGTTTTTAAAACATGTTTTCCGAATTTTCAGTCAACATAACATCGCCAACTTTATGGTCAGCAACGAATGCCAGTACCGTGTCAGTTTTCCTTTTGCATTTGCCCCCGGCGCAGACCGCCGCAACTTTGGTTCCATCAGCAAGTGGCAATGCTCCACCACAGACGCCTCGTCGAATTTCCGCTCAGCTTGCCAAAGAAATTCAATTAAAACATCGTGCTCCTGTGGTGGGTATTTCCATATTTGACCAGGCGGGTAGCCCTGTCGATCAGCTCAGCGACGGAGAAAACGGTAGTCCACCACATCGTCTACTTATCGCTTCTGAAGAACAGTTCAAAGTGTTTTCACTTCCGCAACTAAAGCCGATAAATAAATATAAGCTTACCGCTAATGAAGGTGCTCGAATTCGTCGAATCCACTTTGGATCGTTTCGTTGCCGCATACCGCCGGAATTGCTACAAAGCCTGCACGGTGGAAGCCCAACTAAATCAACCCGTTCTCATGTCGATGGAGATGGGTCTGCCAATATCAGTGCAAACTTGGCTGCTGGTCGTGGAGATGAGTATCACGAAATTGCACTGATTTGCTTGACCAACATGGGCGATATCATGGTTTTATCAGTGCCTGAATTAAAAAGACAGTTGAATGCCGCTGCTGTGCGACGGGAGGACATTAAGTAAGTCCCAAATACTGCTAGTATCTTTACAAATAAATTATTAAAACCGTATTTTGTTCTGCAGTGGTATTTCGTCGCTTGGATTTACCAACTCTGGTGAAGCTCTGTATATGATGTCTTCTTCTGAATTGCAGCGCATTGCTTTAGCCACGTCCAAAGTAGTGCGACCCACAGGCATAGTTAAAGTAGAGCCTTTAGAAACCGAAGAACGTGCTCAAAAAGAAATTGAAGAAGAAAACAAAAAGGAAATATATGCAAATGCTGAAGTTGCCAACTTTCTCGAAGCTAAAGAACCACCAACTGCTTCTAGTCGCGCCACGCCTGTAGAGGGAGTCGTTGATAGAAGTAGTCTTTATCTAACTAATGGAATCAGCAATAGCAATTCACCCAATGGCGGCAACGACACTATTAGCAGCTCCATTGGTGATATTACAGTTGACTCTGTGCGAGATCATTTAAATCTTACGACAACCACTTTGTGCTCTACAACTACAGAGGAGACTGTTGGTGAGTAAACGCCGCCTTATTATCAATTTTGCTTCATCTTGATTGCCTATTTGTCCGTTTTTTCGTTGTGAAATGTTGGGCATCATTATACCCTTGCAGAGGGTATTATAATTTTGGTCAAAAGTCTGCAACGCAGTGAAGGAGACATCTCCGACCCTATAAAGTATATATATTCTTGGTCAGGATCGCGTCCTGAGTTGATATAAGCATGTCCGTCTGTCTGTTTCTATGCGAACTAGTCTCTCAGTTTTAAAGATATTGAATTGAAACTTTGCACACACCCTTCGTTCCTTTGCACGCAGTATACAAGTCGGAGCGGCCGGGAACGGCCGACTATATCCTATAGCTGCCATATAACTGATTGATCGAAAATGCCATTACTTTGGTGTTTGTAAAGTAAGGAATTTGGGATCCTTAGCCATACAACTTTTAGTTTTGGCCAATTAATCCGACCTACCTATTTCATAAGGACCGGCCGACTATATCCAATAGCTGCCATATAACTGAACGATTGGAAATGCTATAACTTTGGTGTTTTTTTTATGAGTATTAAGATAATAATTTTGGAGAATACAATTTACAGAATATTCTGCAAGGGTATATCAAAAGTTAGCTTTCCTTTCTTGTTTTAGTTTTTATTTGCAATCAATTTCTTTTATTTTTTTGATTTTAGATATTCTCCCGAAATTACCATAAAAGTTTTTGGCTATTTATAAACCGGCCTTAAAAATTTACATAACTGTTTTACCACCACTAATTAAATACTTCTTATATTGACATCTCTACTTAAATATAGGTCGGTTATCAGTACTTAGCACGCAAACAAACAAATCCACTACCACCGTGAACATGAACGACATTCCTGACATTAATATTCCCAATTTAAGTGACTTGGCAACGACTAGGTGAGTTTTTCAAATAAATATAAATCCCCAACACTACTAAATATCATAATTATTTAACAGCAACACAACGGATACGAGCACAAGTTCTGTAGTAATAAAATCGGTTATAACAAGCATATCCCACGAAAAAGCGAACGGCGAAAGCGAAACTAAAAGGACGAAAAACACAACGCCTAAAGAAAGCCAATTTTAATAATAACAAGCATATGCGGTTTTAATTTTAGCACAAATTACACAATATAACAGATTTAGTCCCATGTTTTCATGGTATTCTAGATGTAGGTTTTAAACTGTCAATTTAAATACGTTATTTCAGTTCAATATTTATTTGCAGTCAACTTAATATGAAATTATATTAATATTATTTTGACTACAACTGCTTTTTATTTTGTTTTATAGATGCGTTTCAAGTATTTACACAGTAAGGTCCAGAGGCAAAGATTGCATTTTATAAAATATTTTTTACACTATATTCCAAGTTATATTATAGGATGTTAATTTAAGCTTGCATTATTACAATCTTTTTGTGTTTACAGATATTTAGAGAAATTAACATTTTTTTATAATTCATTTAATGTTGATAAAGTTGCCCAGCTTGTTATATTTCCATGGAAAAATGTAAAAAAAAAATATTTTCCCTATTTAAATTATTTTTGTATATATTTTAATCCAATTTTTAAGTTGTAGCTGTGTTGTAACGCTTTGGCTTGGGATAATTAAGCAGTTATGTGAACATTTTGTTTAGAAAATTAAGCTACGAGTTTGATCAACTTGAATTGGTCAACTTGTTCCGAAAAGTTCAATGTAAAACTATTATGCCTTATCAACAATGACTAAATTTATAATAGATTTTATAAAGTATTACAAACATCTGTAAGTTAAAACATTTTTATAATCATTTACACATATTTTAAGTATCCTGTCTTTTAAACTGAAATTCGCATCGAAAGGTGAAAAACTGTCAACATACAACAATTATGCCTTATAATCATTAGATTGCAGCGGATTTGAGATAGTATTTAGTAGTTCGCACCAAGAAAATATGTCATGGCTTAAATATATGTTTTTGATGAAATGTTTGTTTGATTTCTCTGTTTTTTTTTATCAAAATCCTCCACATTCATCTTGGCCTTCACTGAGCATAAGCTTAGGCACATTCTGCGTAAAATCAATAACCATCTTTTTTTTGCCCAGGGATGCCGAAACCCTCAAGAGTAAGAAACGCTTGAGTGCTGCCGCAGGACGACCCATCACTCGCCAAGTGCGCCGACTGGATCGCTGATACTGAGTGACGCCACCACCACAAGCGCCACTGCGAGCGATTCGTTTACCCGACCTACGTCGTGCTGCTACTCACCCCCGCACATTAATTAGGCCCTGTCCTTGTATCCGTCCCTCAGATCTCCTTGGCCCGCTCGCTTTTGACTCAGCGGGTTACATTTTACGTCAGTTAAAACACTCCAGCTGGATCCGCAGACGCATCACTAATCGCCTATCACATTGGCCAAACCAAGAGCCAGAATAATAAAAGCATTATGAACAAATTAAAAAGGGCCGTCTATCTGTCCGTCTGTCTGTTTCTATGCGAACTAGTCTCTCAGTTTTAAAGATATTGAATTGAAACTTTGCACACACCCTTCGTTCCTTTGCACGCAGTATACAAGTCGGAGCGGCCGGGAACGGCCGACTATATCCTATAGCTGCCATATAACTGATTGATCGAAAATGCCATTACTTTGGTGTTTGTAAAGTAAGGAATTTGGGATCCTTAGCCATACAACTTTTAGTTTTGGCCAATCAATCCGACCTACCTATTTCATAAGGACCGGCCGACTATATCCAATAGCTGCCATATAACTGAACGATTGGAAATGCTATAACTTTGGTGTTTTTTTATGAGTATTAAGATAATAATTTTGGAGAATACAATTTACAGAATATTCTGCAAGGGTATATCAAAAGTTAGCTTTCCTTTCTTGTTTTAGTTTTTATTTGCAATCAATTTCTTTTATTTTTTTGATTTTAGATATTCTCCCGAAATTACCATAAAAGTTTTTGGCTATTTATAAACCGGCCTTAAAAATTTACATAACTGTTTTACCACCACTAATTAAATACTTCTTATATTGACATCTCTACATAAATATAGGTCGGTTATCAGTACTTAGCACGCAAACAAACAAATCCACTACCACCGTGAACATGAACGACATTCCTGACATTAATATTCCCAATTTAAGTGACTTGGCAACGACTAGGTGAGTTTTTCAAATAAATATAAATCCCCAACACTACTAAATATCATAATTATTTAACAGCAACACAACGGATACGAGCACAAGTTCTGTAGTAATAAAATCGGTTATAACAAGCATATCCCACGAAAAAGCGAACGGCGAAAGCGAAACTAAAAGGACGAAAAACACAACGCCTAAAGAAAGCCAATTTTAATAATAACAAGCATATGCGGTTTTAATTTTAGCACAAATTACACAATATAACAGATTTAGTCCCATGTTTTCATGGTATTCTAGATGTAGGTTTTAAACTGTCAATTTAAATACGTTATTTCAGTTCAATATTTATTTGCAGTCAACTTAATATGAAATTATATTAATATTATTTTGACTACAACTGCTTTTTATTTTGTATTATAGATGCGTTTCAAGTATTTACACAGTAAGGTCCAGAGGCAAAGATTGCATTTTATAAAATATTTTTTACACTATATTCCAAGTTATATTATAGGATGTTAATTTAAGCTTGCATTATTACAATCTTTTTGTGTTTACAGATATTTAGAGAAATTAACATTTTTTTATAATTCATTTAATGTTGATAAAGTTGCCCAGCTTGTTATATTTCCATGGAAAAATGTAAAAAAAAAATATTTTCCCTATTTAAATTATTTTTGTATATATTTTAATCCAATTTTTAAGTTGTAGCTGTGTTGTAACGCTTTGGCTTGGGATAATTAAGCAGTTATGTGAACATTTTGTTGTCGCCTATCACATTGGCCAAACCAAGAGCCAGAATAATAAAAGCATTATGAACAAATTAAAAAGGGCCGTCTATCTGTCCGTCTGTCTGTTTATACGCGAACTAGTCTCTCAGTTTTAGAGATATCGAATTGAAACTTTGCACACACAATTCTTTCCTTTGCACGCAGTATTATATACTGTCGGAACGGCCGGGAACGGCCGACTATATCATGTAGCTGTCATATAACTGAACGATCGGAAATGCCATAACTTTGGTGTTTGTAAAGTTAGGAAGTGGGATTTTCTATGGGTTTTATTTTGGGCCAATCAATCCGACCTATTAAATTTCATAAGGATCAGCCGACTATATCCTATAGCTGCCATATAACTGATTGATCGGAAATGCCAAACCTTTGGTGTTTGTAAAGTTATGAAGTTGGGATTTTCTATTGGTTTTATTTTTGGCCAATCAATCCGACCTACCAAATTTCATAAGGATCGGCCGACTATATCCTATAGCTGCCATACAACTGATTGATCGGAAATGCCATAACTTTGGTGTTTGTAAAGCTAGGAAGCTGGGATTTTCTATGGGTTTTATATTTGGCCAATCAATCCGACCTACTAAATGTCATAAGGATCGGCCGACTATATCCTATAGCTGCTATATCGGAAATGCCATAACTTTGGTGTTTGTAAAGTTAGGAAGCTGGGATTTTCTATGGGTTTTATATTTGACTATATCCTATAGCTGCCATATAACTTCTTAATCGCAAATGTCATAACTTTGGTGTTTGTAAAGTTAGGAAGCTGCTATTTTCTATGGGTTTTATATTTGGCCAATCAATCCGACCTACTAAATGTCATAAGGATCGGCCGACTATATCCTATAGCTGCTATATCGGAAATGCCATAACTTTGGTGTTTGTAAAGTTAGGAAGCTGGGATTTTCTATGGGTTTTATATTTGACCAATCACTCCGATCATAAGGATCGGCCGACTATATCCTATAGCTGCCATATAACTGCTTAATCGCAAATGTCATAACTTTGGTGTTTGTAAAGTTAGGAAGTTGGGATTTTCTATGGATTTCATAGGATATAGGATATAGTCGGCCGATCCTTATGAAATTTGGTAGGTTGGATTGATTGGCCAAATATGAACTTTACGAACAAAAAAGTTATGGCATTTCCGATCAATCAGTAATATGGCAGCTACAGGATATAGTCGGCCGATCCTTATGACATTTGGCTTAAATTTGGTAAAGGTATGGACTCTCGAAGACCAATTTTTGGTCAACGTTAACAAGTCCTGGGAAAATTAAAAATAACTAACATGAAAATGGGTCAAAAATGTGATCAACGTTAAATTAAAAAATTTTAATGCAGATTTTTAGAGACTGTAATCACAAGTCTTTAGAGGTATGCCACTTTGGAATCGGCTGAAATTTGGTAAAGTTATGGGCCCTCGAAGACCAATTTTGGGACAACGTTAAACAAGTCTTCGGAAAATTAGAAATAACTAACATGAAAATGGCTCAAAAATGTGATCAACGTTAAATTGAAAAATTGTAATGCAGATTTTTAGAGAATGGAATCTCAAGTCTTTAGAGGTATGCCACTTTGGAATCGGCTGAAATTTGGTAAAGGTATGGACTCTCGAAGACCAATTTTGTGTCAACGTTAAACAAGTCTTGGGAAAATTAGAAATAACTAACATGAAAATGGCTTAAAAATGTGATCAACGTTAAATTGAAAAATTTTATGCAGATTTTTAGAGAATGGAATCACAAGTCTTTAGAGGTATGCCACTTTGGAATCGGCTTCAATTTGGTAAAGGTATGGACTCTCGAAGGCCAATTTTAAGTCACTCTTTTACAAGACATCGGAATATTAGAAATAACTAACATGAAAATGTGTCAAAAATGTGATCAACGTTAAATTGTAAAATTTTAAATGCTTAATTTTAGAAGATGGAATCACAAGTCTTTATAGGTATGCCACTTTGGAATAGGCTTAAATTTAAATAGGCTTGGGAAAATTAGAAGTAACTAACATGAAAATGGCTCAAAAATGTGATCAGCGTTAAATTTAAAAATTTTAATGCAGATTTTTAGAGAATGGAATCACAAGTCTTTAGAGGTATGCCACTTTGGAATCGGCTTCAATTTGGTGAAGGTATGGACTCTCGAAGACTCAATGTTAAACAAGTCTTGGGAAAATTAGAAATAACTAAAATGAAAATGGGTCAAAAATGTGATCAATGTTAAATTAAAAAATTTTGATGAAGATTTTTAGAGAATGTAATCACAAGTCTTTAGAGGTATGCCACTTTGGAATCTGCTGAAATTTGGTAAAGGTATGGACTCTCGAAGACCAATTTTAAGTCACTCTTTTACAAGACATCGCAAAATTAGAAATAACTAACATGAAAATGTGTCAAAAATGTGATCAACGTTAAATTGATTTTTAGAGAATGGAATCAATAGTCTTTAGAGGTAGGCCACTTTGGAATCGGCTTAAATTTGGTAAAGGTATGGACTCTCGAAGACCAATTTTGTGTCAACGTTAAACAAGTCTTGGGAAAATTAGAAATAACAAACATGAAAATGGGTCAAAAATCTGAATAACATTAAATTGAAAAATGTTAATGCAGATTTGTAGTCACAAGTCTTTAGAGGTATGCCACTTTGGAATCGGCTTAAATTTGGTAAAGGTATAGACTCTCGAAGACCAATTTTTGGTCAACGTTAACAAGTCTTGGGAAAATTAGAAATAACTAACATGAAAATGGGTCAAAAATGTGATCAACGTTAAATTAAAAAATTTTAATGCAGATTTTTAGAGACTGTAGTCACAAGTCTTTAGAGGTATGCCACTTTGGAATCGGCTGAAATTTGGTAAATGTATGGACTCTCGAAGACCAATTTTAAGTGACTCTATTACAAGACATCGGAAAATTAGAAATAACTAACATGAAAATGGGTCAAAAATGTGATTAACGTTAAATTGCAAAATTTTAATGCAGATTTTTAGAGAATGGAATCACAAGTCTTTAGAGGTATGCCACTTTGGAATCGGCTGAAATTTGGTAAAGGTATAGACTCTCGAAGACCAATTTTAAGTCACTCTTTTACAAGACATCGGAATATTAGAAATAACTAACATGAAAATGTGTCAAAAATGTGATCAACGTTAAATTGTAAAATTTTAAATGCTTAATTTTAGAAGATGGAATCACAAGTCTATATAGGTATGCCACTTTGGAATAGGCTTAAATTTAAATAGGCTTGGGAAAATGAGAAATAACTAACATGAAAATGGCTCAAAAATGTGATCAGCGTTAAATTTAAAAATTGTAATGCAGATTTTTAGAGAATGGAATCACAAGTCTTTAGAGGTATGCCACTTTGGAATCGGCTTCAATTTGGTGAAGGTATGGACTCTCGAAGACTCAATGTTAAACAAGTCTTGGGAAAATTAGAAATAACTAACATGAAAATGGGTCAAAAATGTGATCAATGTTAAATTAAACAAGAGAGAACGCTATAGTCGGGTGCCCCGACTATCAGATACCCGTTACTCAGGTAAAGGGAGTGCGAGGGAGATGGAGATAGAAACTTTGATCACGCATAACTTTTTAACGAATGGTCCGATTTGAAAAATTTCTTCTACATTTCGATAGGTATTGATAAACACAATAAAACTGCATTTTTACTTTTCCGAAATATTTAAATTTTTAAAATCGTATATAAGCGATTGTGGGCGTTAAAGGGGGCGTGGCACCATTTTGAAACAAACTTGCGCTGCGTAGGAACTTCTAAAATCTACATGCAAAATGTCAATCTTCTAGCTTTTATAGTTTCCGAGATCTCAGCGTTCATACGGACAGACAGACAGACGGACAGACGGACAGACGGAGAGACGGAGAGACGGACAGACGGACATGGCTAGATCGACTCGGCTAGTGATCCTGATCAAGAATATATATACTTTATAGGGTCGGAAACGCTTCCTTCTAGCTGTTACATACTTTTGCACGAATACAATATACCCTTTTACTCTACGAGTAACGGGTATAAAAATTTTAATGAAGATTTTTAGAGAATGTAATCACAAGTCTTTAGAGGTATGCCACTTTGGAATCTGCTGAAATTTGGTAAAGGTATGGACTCTCGAAGACCAATTTTAAGTCACTCTTTTACAAGACATCGCAAAATTAAAAATAACTAACATGAAAATGTGTCAGAAATGTGATCAACGTTAAATTGATTTTTAGAGAATGGAATCAATAGTCTTTAGAGGCATGCCACTTTGGAATCGGCTTAAATTTGGTAAAAATATGGACACTCGAAGACCAATTTTGTGTCAACGTTAAACAAGTCTTGGGAAAATTAGAAATAACAAACATGAAAATGGGTCAAAAATCTAAATAACATTAAATTGAAAAATGTTAATGCAGATTTGTAGTCACAAGTCTTTAGAGGTATGCCACTTTGGAATCGGCTTAAATTTGGTAAAAGTATAGACTCTCGAAGACCAATTTTTGGTCAACGTTAACAAGTCTTGGGAAAATTAGAAATAACTAACATGAAAATGGGTCAAAAATGTGATCAACGTTAAATTAAAAAATTTTAATGCAGATTTTTAGAGACTGTAGTCACAAGTCTTTAGAGGTATGCCACTTTGGAATCGGCGGAAATTTGGTAAATGTATGGACTCTCGAAGACCAATTTTGGGACAACGTTAAACAAGTCTTCGGAAAATTAGAAATAACTAACATGAAAATGGCTCAAAAATGTGATCAACGTTAAATTGAAAAATGTTAATGCAGATTTTTAGAGAATGTAGTCACAAGTCTTTAGAGGTATGCCACGTTGGAATCGGCTGAAATTTGGTAAATGTATGGACTCTCGAAG